TACGAGCGAGGGCGACAGCGCGGCAGAGGAGTGCGCGTCTACCGACGAGGCCGTCGCGGAGGACGCCGAAGAGGAGCTATGCAAGGAACAGCCGGGGCCTACCGTAGTCGCTGAGACCCCAGTGACCGCTCAGGAAATGAATGGCATAAGCTATGAACACTCGACCGTGGACAATGCCGTGGGTGAGAAAGCAGCGTTGGGGGAAGAGCCCTCGCTGGACGTGCCGGAGCTGCCACTGACGCCCCCCGTGGATACGAGCGTCGAATGCACTTCTCCAAATGTGCCTCAGCCAGAATCGCCCCCTCCTCCGCTCATCGCTGCTGCTCAATGCACCACTAAGACCTCCCCCCCTCCTGCCGCTGTACTTCCACCCGTGGCTTCAGACCATGTGGACGAGCAGGAGGACGTCGGAACGTCCAGCTTCGACGGGGCGATGGACTCTGCCAACACCAGGCCGGCGGATCCCTACGCAGAATTCGAGCCAAGCGTGACACTGCTAAGCTTCACCTCAAGGAAGAGTCCCGTGGAAGGTACGTGCCTGGAAGGGTTCATAGTCCGGGGCTGTGGGGGGAGAAGGATCTCGGGGGAGATTCACCAATAGGGAAGATGGACTCTCGAGGGAGGTGTCGGCACAGCCGGTAACCTGGGTCAGACCTCAGGGGACAATCTGATTCGCTGCTATGAGGGAGAAACTTATTTCATTGGCTTGTGTGTCCCGGGCAATTCTTTCCTTTACATGGGGGGGGGGGCAATGTAGATTTAAAGGGGAAAGTTTTGTTGCTGGCGTGCTGTTTGGTGGTCAGGAGAAGGAAAAGAAGCCCAGACATTGGTGGGAGGAAACATATAAGGGGCTCTGGGTGGCACTGGGGTGGGGGGTTCTAGAGGGGATTTGGGGACTCTGCACCCGTACTGGTGGCAGATCTGCTGTTGCTTTGTATTATGGAAGCCATTCATTTACAATCCCCCCCCCCTGTGATGTCCATTGGTGGAGAACCATTGATCTGAATAGCTTGAAGCTCATACTATATACACACCTCCCCTCTCCCACCCTGCTCTGCTAACCCGTCTATGACCGTGTGCCCGGCCCGTCTATAAACCTGTCTATGAACGCGTGCCCGGCCCGTCTATAAACCCGTCTATGACCGTGTGCCCGGCCCGTCTATAAACCCGTCTATAACCGTGTGCCCGGCCCGTCTATAAACCCGTCTATGACCGTGTGCCCGGCCCGTCTATAAACCCGTCTATGACCGTGTGCCTGGCCCGTCTATTAACCCGTCTATGGCCGTGTGCCCGGCCCGTCTATAAACCCGTCTATGACCGTGTGCCCGGCCCGTCTAGAAACCCGTCTATGACTGTGCCCGGCCCGTCTATAAACCCGTCTATGGCCGTGTGCCCGTCCCGTCCATAAACCCGTCTATGACCGTGTGCCCGGCCCATCTATAAACCAGTCTATGAGCGTGTGCCTGGCCCGTCTAGAAACCAGTCTATGACTGTGCCCGGCCCGTCTATAAACCCGTCTATGACTGTGCCCGGCCCGTCTATAAACCCGTCTATGACCGTGTGCCCGGCCCGTCTATAAACCCGTCTATGACCGTGTGCCTGGCCCGTCTATTAACCCGTCTATGGCCGTGTGCCCGGCCCGTCTATAAACCCGTCTATGACCGTGTGCCCGGCCCGTCTAGAAACCCGTCTATGACTGTGCCCGGCCCGTCTATAAACCCGTCTATGGCCGTGTGCCCGTCCCGTCCATAAACCCGTCTATGACCGTGTGCCCGGCCCATCTATAAACCAGTCTATGAGCGTGTGCCTGGCCCGTCTAGAAACCAGTCTATGACTGTGCCCGGCCCGTCTATAAACCCGTCTATGACTGTGCCCGGCCCGTCTATAAACCCGTCTATGACCGTGTGCCCGGCCCGTCTATAAACCCGTCTATGACCGTGTGCCTGGCCCGTCTATAAACCCGTCTATGACCGTGTGCCCGGCCCGTCTATAAACCCGTCTATGACCGTGTGCCCGGCCCGTCTATAAACCCGTCTATGACCGTGTGCCCGGCCCGTCTATAAACCCGTCTATGACCGTGTGCCCGGCCCGTCTATAAACCCGTCTATGACCGTGTGCCCGGCCCGTCTATAAACCCGTCTATGACCGTGTGCCCGGCCCGTCTATAAACCCGTCTATGACCGTGTGCCCGGCCCGTCTATAAACCCGTCTATGACCGTGTGCCCGGCCCGTCTATAAACCCGTCTATGAGCGTGTGCCCGGCCCGTCTATAAACCCGTCTATGACCGTGTGCCCGGCCCGTCTATAAACCCGTCTATGACCGTGCCCAGGCTTGATCACACCAGAGGTGTCCTGGCATGGATCCCGTGCTCTGTGTCCTCTGGGTAGCCGGTGCCCAATATATTTTCTGCCGTCTCTCCTATCCATGGACATCTGGGGTCCTCCATGTTATGTCTGATTGCCTTACAATTAGGAAAAACCATGGCGTTAGGTTGGCTCTGTCCAGTTGGCCCCCCGGTATGACCAGTGTGATGGGACATTTCCTCAGGTGAGATGGTGGTGAGGTTCTCCTGGGATGGGGGATGTCCCCAGGTGATGCGGAGCTGTGATGGAGGATGGGTAGGCACGTTGTCCTCCTCCGGTGGTCCCTGGGAAGTCCTCGGTGTATTGCCGCGTAGCGTCACATCTGATTGGTCCCTCTCCGAGGAGGCGTGGGCTCAGTGACCTGAAACAAAAGATCTCCAGGATGAGTGTGACGCGCGCGTGTTCCTTTATAGATTGCAGCGAGCAGATCTCCATGGGCGGAGTCATTATCCGGAGAGTTCTGAGAGCGGCGGGACGGAGTCCGGGGTCTTTCATGTCTCCGCTGTAATCCTCATATGCGTGTCTGTCTGTGGCGGGTCTATAGAACTAGGACACGCCATCATGTGGTCCATCCGGGTGTCACTTGGTGATGGTGCGACGCTCTGCGGACTCCCCCCCCAGCAGAACCGGCGGGGCCAATGACTGTGCACCCCCCAACCTTCCAGTCCTGAGACTGTGCACCCCCCAACCTTCCAGTCCTGAGACTGTGCACCCCCCAACCTTCCAGTCCTGAGACTGTGCACCCCCCAACCTTCCAGTCCTGAGACTGTGCACCCCCCAACCTTCCAGTCCTGAGACTGTGCACCCCCCAACCTTCCAGTCCTGAGACTGTGCACCCCCCAACCTTCCAGTCCTGAGACTGTGCACCCCCCAACCTTCCAGTCCTGAGACTGTGCACCCCCCAACCTTCCAGTCCTGAGACTGTGCACCCCCCAACCTTCCAGTCCTGAGACTGTGCACCCCCCAACCTTCCAGTCCTGAGACTGTGCACCCCCCAACCTTCCAGTCCTGAGACTGTGCACCCCCCAACCTTCCAGTCCTGAGACTGTGCACCCCCCAACCTTCCAGTCCTGAGACTGTGCACCCCCCAACCTTCCAGTCCTGAGACTGTGCACCCCCCAACCTTCCAGTCCTGAGACTGTGCACCCCCCAACCTTCCAGTCCTGAGACTGTGCACCCCCCAACCTTCCAGTCCTGAGACTGTGCACCCCCCAACCTTCCAGTCCTGAGACTGTGCACCCCCCAACCTTCCAGTCCTGAGACTGTGCACCCCCCAACCTTCCAGTCCTGAGACTGTGCACCCCCCAACCTTCCAGTCCTGAGACTGTGCACCCCCCAACCTTCCAGTCCTGAGACTGTGCACCCCCCAACCTTCCAGTCCTGAGACTGTGCACCCCCCAACCTTCCAGTCCTTTAGACTGTGCACCCCCCAACCTTCCAGTCCATGGATGTGTTGCCCTCTGGTGATCCAGCCAGTAAAACACTTCCTGTTCTAGAGTGACAACGCTCACTGTATCTATGGAGCAGTGTTGTCATCCTCGGACAGGACTACAGAACAGCACCACCTCTCCTCTTGTATCCATAGCATAGAGGAGGAGGTGTTCTGTAGGCCTGACACACCTTCTAATAACATTGAGATGAATGCAGAGAGCACAGGACGGGATGTATAGCGGTTTCAGGACAGATATAAGAAAACCCTCCAATGGGAGCATTGTCGGGGTTCACAGACATTTTAGGGGTTCTTCCCATTGGTTAGATGATGAGAGCGGAGTTCCCCCACTGGAGGGTTATAATGAGATATCTTTATATTGTATTTCTGGATTGTGTAATCCCGGTCCTGGACGGAGCGCTCCGATCACATGACCGCGCAGTCACAGGAAGAGCCTAATCCCCCTCTCTTCCCCTTACAGCGCAGACCGCGGCCCCTGCACCAAAGACGTGGCAGAAACCAAAAGACGAGAGCCCGCCCCCCGACGAGGTCCTGCCACCCGAAACCCAGGTGAGTCCAGTACCAGGAGCGCCCGATCTTCCACCGAACTCCGGTCCTGGATGCAGCTTCTGGATAATCCTTCCATGTAACCAGGAAGCGCCGCGCTCTGCTAGATCCAGACGCAGCGCCCCTGCCAAATAAATGTCATACGTCTCCTTCCAGTGTGACGCCGTCATTTCCTGTACCGCCCATCACATCGATGATGTCATACAAGTAGAAAACCCTAATACCCCGGAGCGTAGCAGCCTAATAATGACCCCACCCCGGCCAAATAATGATCCC